AGCGCACTTAAACAACGACAATTTCTAGGCAATTACAATAACTCGGCTCGACTCGACTCGGCACATCTCATACACGAGCCGCAAAAATTTTTTTCTCGCGGCGGCAGTTTGAATGTGGGAAATGAAAGTGGAGGTGGAGCGCGGTGTGTTTCATTCAAGGCAAGAGAGAGGGGCTAGGATAGGTGGATATAAGGATTAATGGCGTAGATCCCTTGCCGATTGACTAAGTAACGTACATTTGGAGGAGCGAGGGGAGCGGTAAAGAACGGAAAGGATGAATGAAGTCAGCCTTTGCTCCTGTGAGATTTTGAAGACAAAAAAACACAGATGTAACTGTTGTGCACAGTTGCAGGCTGCAAGAGGCTTATTTTTAAGGTCGGGTTCGATAGTGAAAAACGTAGTAGAGGGATTTTTCTCGTCTAGATAAGGTTCTAGGTGTCATTTCTACCCAGCACTGAATTACATGCTGAGCATAAAAGAACCATAGGGACCCCCCTCTCTCCCTCCCCTTCCTTTTTCCCATAAACCTTGCCCTTTCCAATTCCTACCTCCAGCCACGGTCTTTACACTCAATAAACCTCATCTCCCTCCGGCCCTCCGTTCTTCTCGTCCTGACTCGTTTCCCGGTTCGCTCACATCGAGCCAAGTCGAATTTCAACAACTGCCTAAACAACCGCAATCACCAAAACTCGGCTCGCCTCAGCTCGACTCGGCCAGCGTTATACACGATTTGCAGAAAATTTTTCCTGGCGACACTGGCCAGGGCTACAGTACAGGGAGTGCCGGGAGCTTGAATTTGACAAGTGGAAGAGGGAGGAGTAGGTGGTATGCTATAGGTTCCGTTTACGAAAAGGGAGGAGCCCTGGGGTAGGCTTTAACTGCGGATACGCAGGATAGGAAAAGGCTGAAATACTGCTTGTTCTAGTGTGCTATTATAAAGCGGATGAAGAAGAGCTCAAACACAAAGCAAGAGCTCGAGGCAAGAACTAGATACAGCAGCGGATAAAAAGAAGCCACACAGCACTACAAAAAACCCAGGCTAGAAACGCACCAGGCTTACCGATGCTGTCATGCGTTTTTGCAATAAACTCGCAGGTCGCTAATAGCAGAAATAATCCCTGCGCTGCAGCCAAACATTTGGGCTCATATTTGTCATGCTTTGGTTTCTTCCGGCATGCAGCAGAATGGGCATCGGTTGGGATGAGAGTATCGCGCCACAGAGTAGCATGGACCTGCAGGTACATGACTGGCAGGTTTTTCCATGAAGCTCGGTCTTTTTTATGCGTTTTTGCATACATGCAAATGCGAAAACGCATATTGTGACGACCCCGGTGTGTGTGTGTGTGTATGTGTGTGTATGTGTGTGTGTGTATGTGTGTGTATGTGTGTGTGTGTGTTTGCGTCTACCCGGGTATTTCAAGTCGGAACCTAAGCAAGCTCCGGCGCCAAAATTTTGCAGGTGGTTCCCGGCCAGGTGGCACCCCAGGTCTGCCGTAACAACCCTCATGCATGTCTGGGCCCCGCGTACGAGAGGGTGAAAGTTTTGGCGGGAAAATCGCTAACTGACTCAGAAAGTTGA